TCTGCAAGTCAAAATGAGCTCATGCTTCAGTTTCAAATTTAGATGGCTTCCTCCACACCCAAATTAAACTCCACAGTCCATCTAATACTGCATATGTCAGGCTGATTCTTGAAAGAGGCCAGTTACTATGTTCATAGCAACATTCTTTGTAATAGCCAGATCTTGGAAACAGTCTAGGTGCCCCTCAACTGAAGAATGGATAAAGAAAATGTGGTACATTTACACAACTGAGTACCACTCATCGGTAAGAAACAATGATATCTTAAAATTCACAGGCAAATGGACAGAACTAGGAAAAAATCCTAAGTGAGGTAACCCAAAACCAGAAAGACAAATATAGGAGGTACTCACTCATAAGTGGATACCAGACATAAAGCAAAAGATACCCAGCCTACAATCCATAATCCCAGAGAAGCTTGAATCTTCTTCCAGAAACAGATGGAAGCAGATGCAGAAATCCACAACTAACCAGTAGGCCAACAATTGAAGGGAGGGAGAAGCCATAATACAAACACAGGAGTCAAGACCACAATGGGGAAACCCACAGAATCAGCTAACCCAAGCTAGTGAGAGATCACTGACTCAGGTCTGACAAATGGGGAACCTGCATAAGACTGAACTAGACTCCCTTAATAAAGGTGACAATGGTGTGACTGGGACAGTATATGAGGCCACTGGCAGTATCCAAGATCTAAAACTAATGGATAAACTGACTTAGTGAAGCCCATTCTATATGAAGAAATACCTTGCCCAGCCTAGACACAGGGGTGTGTGGTGGGGGAGGTGCCTTGGTCCTGCCTCAACTAGATGATGGGACAGACTTAGTAGACATCCTACCCTCTCCATGGAGCAGATGGGAGGAGGGGGTATTGGGGGGAGTGGAGGGAAAGGGGGAAGGGGGAACTGGGATTGGAATGTAAAAAAATAAATTAATAAAAAATGGACAAAAATAAAATAAAATACAAAATAAGAGGCCAGTTACTTCCATGGGTGTCTTTATCTCAGAAGTTCTTCATAAAAGTACAACATTTCAGGGTGGGAAAGATGCCACAGAGATTAAGAGGACTGTCTGCTCCTGCAAAGGACATAGGTTGGTTCCCTGCACCACACAGTGGCTCACAGCTGACTGTAACTCCAGTTCCAGGGAACCCAATGCTCTGTCCTGGCTTCCCCCAGAATCAGGCACACACATGGTGCACATACATACAGGTAAGCAAAACACTCCAATGTATAAAATAAAAATGCATCACTTGTAAAAGAGAGAGAAGCAGAACGTTTTCTAGCTGGGGGTGGAAAGAACGTTCTTCTGTTAAACTCTAGACAAGTGATATGATAGTATATTGTTTATTATTTCAAACATATACATATTGATGGTGTGGGCTGGAGAGATGGCTCAGTGGTTAAGAGCACTGGCTGCTCTTCCAGAGGACCCAGGTTCAATTTCCAGCATCCACAGGGCAGCTCACAACTGTAACTCTAGTTTCAGGGGATCCAACACCCTCACACAGACATACATACAGGCAAAACACCAATACACATAAATTAAAAAAAAAAAACAGAAGAAGTCACTTTGCTGCCGGATCTCAGGAGGCATCACTGACAAGGACTGCTCACCAAACTCGGTCATGGAAACCACTGGCACCCCTGAGGCTACGGGAACAGGCAAGTACATTGCCTCAACACAGAGACCCGACGGGACCTGGCAATGGAGGGTCAAAGAAGGCTACGTGCCCCAAGAGGAGGTCCCAGTTTATGAAAACAAGTATGTGAAGTTTTTCAAGAATAAACCAGAACTTCCTCCAGGGATGAGCCCTGAGACCACTACACCCATCACCCCATCCAGACCCGAAGGTGGTGAAGCAGGCTTCTCCAAGACAGCCAAACACAACCTGAAGCAAAAGGAGAAGAGGAGGCAGCAGCAGCAGGAGGAGGAGGCAGAGGCCTTGACCGTGTCTCTGGAAGACACGGTCCAAACACCCAGCGCCCTCCAAGACTCCCTGGCCTCCCCTCTAACTGCTCCTGATGAATCCTACTCTGCTGCCACCACAGAGAAAGCCAAGAAGATCAAGAACCTAAGGAAGAAGCTGCGGCAGGTGGAGGAGCTGCAGCAGCACAACCAGGCTGGCGAGGTCAGCCAGCCCAGCAGAGAGCACCACGAGAAGCTGGCCTGGCGGAGGCCTCTGGAAGAGGAGCTGGAGGATTTGGAGCTGGGCCTGTGAGGCTTCAGGAGCCGAGGAGTGAACTACCGAACAAACCATGGGGTGCTCTGGGGTCAGGGAGTGTGGGCCTCAGCAGTCAGGAGGGGCACCTCATTCTGGCTCACTTCCACCTGTGGCCCAACTCTGTCCTCCAGAGCCCCAGGCTCTCCTGTATTCCTTCCCTCTTTCTTCTCAGCTCCTATTTTTGGACTTTCCCTCTCCCATTCCCAGTGTTCAGATTCTCAATGACAACTCTAGGTATCTCTGCTGCTGATCAGGGTGTCTTGTTAAAAAGAAAACCAGGGGTTGGGAGGCTGTTAGAGATCTGAGGTTGAGGATACAGGAGTTCCCCAAGTCTTAGAGTCTTAGTTATGAGTTATTTCCCCAGCCATCCTGAACCTCTTCTTCTTTTTTTTTAAAGACAGTGAGAATAAATTCAAGTAGACAAAAAAATTAAAAAACAGATGTATAAATGACCACAAAAGATAAATCTCTAATCACAAAAAATTGATAGTCATAACAAACACATGAATATCCCTCATTTATATTGAGAATTAAAATATTACAGAGTTGATCTGTCTTTCTCAGTATCATTCCTTCCACACTGAATTCCAGAAGAAACCACAGCCCAAAAGCTTAGAGATGTCATTCTCTGTCATAGTCTTACACTTCTAGACATATGTTCCTGTAAGACAGTCCCATTGTTTTTGCATGTTTGAAATTTTTTAACAAGTTGCACTTATGCTTCTATAACTTGATCCTCTCTCCTCTTTCTCCTCTCTCTCTCTCTCTCTCTCTCTCTCTCTCTCTCTCTCTCTCTTGTTCTTGAGATGTATCCAACACTACTTCATTTTAATGTTACATAGTATCCATTTGTTTTACTGTTATTAAGAGTGCATGGATAAAAATATACACATATTTTGGCATTCCTCTGGGGATGGACAGGAGAGTAATTTCCAGTGTTCACTATCACCGACAAGCTGCCATGAATGAACATTTCTGCACTTTATCATAACCTAAGCTGTCAGATCTATATGCATGTGTGATGGAGGTCCTCTGTATTTAAAAGAAGAGTGTGTGTCTGGCTGTGGGATATACATATCTCTAACTTTATTAGCTCTTTTTGTTTAGACTGTCGCTTAAATTTCCATCAACCTGGTGTCTGAAACAATAAACACTCTTTTTCACAGTTCTAGAGTCTAGATATCCAAGAGCAGGGCTCCAGAATGTTCAGGTTCTGGAGAGGACCATTGTGCAGGCAGCAAACAGCCAACCTCTTACATCCTTACCTGCCAAAAAGAAAGTGATCTAGCTGCCAAGTCTGTTCCTATAAAGCCATTAGTTGCATTCATGAAGGCTCCATTCTCACTGACTAGTCATCCCCCAAAAAAGATTCCATGGAGCTTAATTAAATAAGTAATTTAAAGGGACTCAGATACTCAGTCCATTGTGATACCAAATTTCTCTTTCTAGTCATTTTACCAATGTCAACTCCAACAAGTAATATATGCTTTCCTTTGTTTTTGTTTGTGGTGCTAGGGATCAAACCCCAGGGTCTTGCACATTTCCAGCTCTGTGCATTTTTAAAGTATATTTATTTTCAACCATGTGTAAATGTATCTATGTAGGGGTATGAGCATGTATGAGTGCAGGTGCCCACAGCGTTCAGAAGAGGGCACCAGATTCCCTGAAGCTGGAGTTACAGGTGGTTGTGAGTCACCCAACATGGGTGCTGGAAACTGAACCTGGGTCATCTGCAAAAGCAGATGTGCTCTGAGCCATAGAACTCTCTCTCCAGCCCCATGTTGTTGTTTGTTGATTAATGTACCAGGAATCTTGTCAAGGATCAGAAATGGACAGGAAAGTAATGGGAATTCTTTAAATTCTGAGCTGTCACTACTTCCAAAGTTGTGAGATTTTAAGCACTTTTTATGATCTTCAATTGACTAAGTCATTTTAAGACTCAGTGAAAGACAGAATTTAACTTGTAAAAAATTAGCAACAATGCAAATCTCCCTGTCCATAGCAATACAAGTTACTCTTGCTCATAGTGATAGTGATGAATTTTTTGTAATAGAGAATATAAAACTGAGCCAAACTCTCACTTAACTTGTCTATTAGTTCCTTTGTTTATAAGTTAAAATTAAATATTTGACACAAATTTATGACATATTTTTGTGAGAATCTTGTTTTGGCCACATTGAAAAGATTTAGCAAGGAAGAGGTTTTCAAAACTAATAAAATATAATCAGAGAAAGCTGGCCTTTTAAGACAGAGCACCAACCTGCTATACATGACTGACTTTATGGCCTCAAGAGATTTGCTGAAAGAAAATTGCTAATGAAAAAGTCTGAGGAGCCACACAAAACCACAGCTAATTTGTAGGCCAACTACACCTTTATCATCATTTGGGTGATTCAAGCAATGTATTAAACCCTTTGACCCTCACATGCCATTAGTAAACCTGATTAAGAACACTTACCTCAGGGCTGGCATGATAACTCAATGAATAAAAGTGCTTGCTACCCAAGCCTGATGACCTGAGTTCAATCCCTGGAATCCATACAATGGGAGAAAAGATACTCATCTCCCCAAGTTATCCTCTGATCTCCACATGCATATGGAACCTGTGAGCACTAGCTAAGTAAACATATGAATTTTTAGAGAAAAGAATATTTGCCTCAAGGACTATCATGAACATTAAATGAGATAGCATTGGGAGCCACTTAATATAAAAGTTGGATTACCTCAGTCAGAATGGTTTCTTCTAGTTCCATCCATTTGCCTGCAAATTTCAAGATTCCATTGTTTTTTTCTGCTGAGTAGTGCTCCATTGTGTAAATGTACCACATTTTCTCATCCATTCTTCAGTTCAGGAGCATCTAGGCTGCTTCCAGATTCTGGCTATTACAAATAGTGCTGCTATGAACATAGATGAATAGACATCCTTGTTGTATGAATGTGCTTCTTTTGGGTATATGCCTAGGAGTAGAATTGCTGAATCTTGTGGTAGACTGATTCCCATTTTCCTGAGGAATCGCCATACTGAGTGAAATGACTTCTAAGTGACATCTCTCTCAAGCCTCATGGCAATGCTTCCATTGTGAACTCCATTGGCAGATGAGTCTCAGAGAAGGTAACTGAATGTTCCCCAAGTCCCATAATTAAAGAATGGTACAATGACTTCAACTCAGATTTATCTGAGACAACCAAATTTATAATCTTTCCACTGAACTGTTGTCACATATCAGGTAATAAATGTGAAAACTCCAAGCATTATATCTGGCAAACAGAGGTGGTAATTTTGCATGTAAATCCTTCCTTCTTCCTCAGAATGCTTCCAGATTGAATGACGGTATATGAAGATACAACACCATTTGATTCTTCTGCCCTTATGTGAACTTGAACACATGATGCTTTGTTCTCCCATCTCAAGTGGAACTTATTCCCTTTCCTACACGTGTTTCTTATCCTATAGCTTGCCCCCAAGAGAAAAAGTGGGGTCTAGTCCAGCTTCTTGTCCCTCTACCCAGCCTCCAATACTTGTCTGGTTCAACATAGATGCTTAACATTTATCGGTGGAGTGCATAAGCTGAAACTCCTATACAGCAGTATTGATTAGGAATCAATGTAACCTACCAGTCTCCCCAGGAAATATACAAAGAATTCTGAGCTGGACTCAGAGGCAGGCTCTAGGGCTGGTGCCAACACTAACCTATAAGCAAACTGGGCCTTCATGCCATACTTCTCTTACTGGGTCCATCAAATTGGGGGTTTGCACTGTTATCTTGAGTGTTCTTCTGACCCAACAGATTTTGGTCACAGTGTCCTTAAAAGTGAAGAGGACTCACAGATGCCACCGGTGCTGGGATGGACAGTGCTCGCTAAGATTCCAGTCAGTGTTCAGCATTTGGGCATATTGAAAATGTCCCCTTGATAGTTCCAGGTAAAACCTCCCCAAAGACAGCTGGAATGAAGAACCAAGTGCTTGAAGCCAGAGGTTTCTTGTCCTCTGAAAGCTCACCAGGGGCCAAGGACAATGCTAAGACCTTAATGAAAGGCCTTGTCTTTGAGATAGACAGAACTGATGTCCCTTCTAGGAAGGAACTCCAATGATGTCAATTAGTGCTTGCTGTGCACAAATGGTTTGCCCTGTGCTGTGCAAGCCATTCATGGACTCTCACTACATTTGATTCTCATATGAAAGCATGTCCAGTTCATAATTTAAATACAATAATAGATCTCCAGCCAAGAAAGTTTAAGCAAGTCCTCTCTTTCTCTCTTTTCAATTCAGTATATGTGCTCACCTGCTTCAGAGCTGACCTGTATTTAGTTTTTTTATTTTTTTTTGACAAAACACCTCAAGGAAGTACACTTATGGAAGGAAAGATTTATTTTGGCTCAGTTTCAGGGGCTGCGGTCCATTCACCATATGGGAGAAAAGGGGAAGAACCCCCTCAGTCCATGGCAGCCCAAGCATGCAATGGAGATGTTCTCATGTTGGTGGGTCAAGAGGCAGGCAGCACAAGCAGAACCGGGAGCAGGTATAACATTGAAGGTTCGCCCCTAGTGACCTGTTCCCACTATCCAGGTCCACTTCCTGTGGGCTCCCCTGCCTTCAAGTCAGCACCACAAACTGGGAACCAAATATGCAAAACACAAGTCTATGGGGGCACATTCTCGATTCAAACCATAACTTTCTGCCTTTATGTGCCATGGAGAGAAAAGCCCCTGAAGGCCTCCAACCACAATGTCTACCGCCTTAGGCGTGAATGAATAGGGGGCATGTGGTTCCGTTAACCTTCTTACACATATGGGTTTTTTAAAAAATAATGTGTGCTGGGAGCATAGGAAGGAGGAATAAGAGAGAAGTGAGCTCTCACAATAGCCCCCCATTCATTCTGCTCAAATGTGTTTCCATGGCCAGTTCTGGGTACTTTTGTGAACTAGAACGTCTTCCTGCATTTACTAGATGCTTAATATGAGCCTTGCTGAGTGTTCCCTGCCCTGTGTATGCTCTC